CATGGGCTGACCAACCCAAACATGGATACCCATGCTGGGAGTGGGTCTGTCAGGACAGATGCCCTAGCAAGGAGATATGAGGCTGTAGGTGAAAACACTCCTATCCCCACCAAAGGGCCTGGTCTGTGATTTCAGAGGTAGTTTGGGTGCCTAAACAAGTGCTGGGCACCTCTAAGCTGCTGAATTGATTGTGAAGCTACAACCCAGGATCCCAAGCCACTGATGTTACACAGCCTGCGGCTTGCCCAGGCTCTGCTGCCTTTTCTCATTCCTACCAGCACACCCCAGCAGCCCGTGACCCCAGCCTGCAATGAAGGCTGATCCCATACACTGTATCTCACTAAACCACACACGAACCCAGGGCGGACTCCACAAGCCTCGGCAGAGATGCAGCAGCAGAGGTGTGTGGTGAGGTCTCCAATGACTAAGACTTCATTATTTTTTACAAAGTATACTGCAGAATATTTATCCCTGCATTACGATGAATTAGCATAAATAATTAAAACAGAGCCCGCATTGGTGAACACATAAGCAAAGGGCACTTGCTAATGGACCAGGCTTGCTCTGCTGCTCCTGGGACTCACTTAGAGACAAGTCCATGCCAAAAAGGCCAAGGAAGGATTTGCATTTACCCTTTTTACCCAAAACCTGTTCCTATCTCACCCCAGATGGCTGACACAGACTGGTGGATCAGCACACCTTATGGAGCATCTCCCAAAGGGCGAAGAGAAAACAACAGTAAGTCCCCAGACGTTCAACCTGCTCCCAAGTCCCACTGCAATCTCTTCTTCAAACAACACACCTACGATCAGTCATGCAAGAGGTGCTTCCCAGAAATGCTCACAATCTGATGGATCGCATGACTCTGCCTTCTCTTTTTATTCCAGGTATTAAGCAGTATAGAAAGAAGATTGCATGGCAAATAGGGAAGGGTTTTCAAGTGCTCCCCATGGTTTTGCTCCCTCAGGAGCACATATGCTCTGGTGATCTATACCAGCAGAGCGCAGCCAATATTGCAGACTTTCCCAAAAAAAGGACAATTTAATCCCAAGTCTTTTCCTAGCCTTATTTTTCCCTGAAAGTAAAGACTGCAGTTGTCTCAGAGGATGGTATGAAAATAAGAATATCTCCTAGCTACGTCTCTTTCAGCATCGCTCTTCTCTGAGACTGAAAATTTTCCACAAATTGATGATCTGTATTTTATTCTCTTTCTGGACTCTCTCCATTTTCCACCAAATATTTTGTGCTTACAATTAAAAATGAAATGGAAAAACAAAATCATGCTTGTTTGCAATCCTTCATTCGATTCACTTCTGCCTCTGTGCATAAATAAAGCATTTGGACGGCTGGTGGAGGTGAACAGAGCTCAAATCAGTCTCCCTGGCCAAAGTACACATCCCACGAGGCACAGCTGCAGGGGTTTCCTGCAGTATATTGTGCAGCTCAACATGAAGGAAAATACAGTACAGCATGGGAACAGCAGTTGTACCTGCAGAGAGATGAACTATGGAAAGAGCAGGGTTAGACTGTAGCCTGACCTGCAACCCCCAAGAGTCATTTCCAAGCCAAACACCACAGGGCTTAAACCACACTTTTTTAATTATTTTTAATATTTTTTATTGAAAATGTTGTTTGCCTTTACAGAGGTGAGATTTCTTCATGGGAAAATCAATTTTCTCTTACCAACTACACCACTAAGATATTGCCATACTGCCAAGAGTGAACTCTGGTGTTCTAGCAGAAGAGAGCTGCATGGGTGTTATGTAGATCTCCTGTCTAGCAGAGCTGACAAAGAATACGTGTTTTCAGATGGTGAAGGAAACAAAGTCAGCTTCTTTAGGACCAAATTACCTTCCTCTTTGCTATAAGGATAGGCTTGGACATGCTCACTTGTGTAGAACAGGGAAGAACTGCAAGGAAAATATCTGGTGCTGCTTTCCATAAATCACTGCCAGTGAGAGCTGAACACTCAAATTCACATCAGGAATTTGCCCCTTTCTTCCCTGCACCTTTGTCCCTAGGGCTAGGTAGGGCCTGATCATGTTTATGCATCATCATTCAATTATCTCAACAGATTAAATCATTTCAGTAGATCTAACCCCAACTAATCTAAAAAGAGTGTTTACACAGGCACTGCATCAAACCTTATTTATGTGCACATTGTAACCATGAGATACACAAAGGATCATGACCCCTTTGCAGCCATATGGGCACTGCTGTACGATTTAACACGATCCCATCTGCACCACCCTATTCAAAGTTCTAGCAGGCAAAGCTTTTGCAAAGACCTTTGCAAAGCCCTTTCCTGCCTGAAAACAACACCTTCGGTGCGTCCTGAAAGTCATAATCCTCTTGCAGCAGCAGCTTCCCACCTCCTGAATCCTGGGATATACACAGCACTGGAGTCCTTTGCATCATCTCTTCATTAAATACCTCTGAATGCTTGGATCCGTAAGGAATTCACCACATCCGTCCGTGATCCATCCATCAGCTGTCTATTCTCTGTGGCTGCTTGCGTGAGAACATCCTTCTTACTCTTAATTTTGGTTGCATGGTATTTATTGCAAAGTTACTCAGAAGACAAAGCGTAACATGTCATTAAGATAATGACATCAAGATAAATGGGACTTCTCTTCAAAATTAAACCAGCATCAAATCTGTAGATTATACGGAAAGGCTGGCAAGCTCTCACCTACCCAAGGGAAAGTGTAAACTGTTCTAGTGCAAAAAGAGGCACTCGGGGACTGCTGGGATGGCACTATACAGTGTCATGGCAGCACCTCCAACACAAGAGAGAATCCTTTTCAGAAGGAATAAAGCTAAAAGGCAATTCATTTGAAAGCAAGAACAAAGACTCTGGGTATCAGCTTAGGTGCTGCATCCCCACAGCACTGCTCCTGCTCCCGAGCAGGTCATTGTTCTCCAGTCTCAGGAACAAGCTCTGAAGCCTGTCAGCCAGATCTCAGCACACTCTTCCATCACTTTCAGCAGAATTCTTTAGTGAGGTTTGATCCTAGAGTGAGGTGAGAAGCCTCAACTTTGCCTGAGTTCACCAGAAGCTGAGACTGAGCAGAGACACAAAGCAGCCAACAGCAGACTTGGACGTCCTGGGAAAATACGGGCTATCATTTGTGGGCTGATACACCTGGACATGTGCATTTTTGCATTTTACTGCTTTCAAGGATAAGGACTCTTAAAGGTGTCTTTTTTCATTAATGTTGAATTTGGCACTGATTATCTTAACAACACTGTTATTAACTTCTGAGAGAGCAGGTCAGACTCACACCCTGGTTTTGCAGGACTGAGTAGTCACCAAAGAGAAGTTGGCCACACAGAGCATCGCATCCTCTCCTAAGGATGAAACCTTCAAAACACAGAATTTTTTCCCTATTCTATGATCCATGTTGCATAAGGATCTCCAGGCTAAACACACACCTAGAGAGCTACCTAAAATGAATGTTGTAACTTGGAAATTCTTAGACCATTGCAAATAAATGCGAATCTCTTTGCTTGTCTGATCTTCTCTATACTCACCCTCTGTTCTATTGATTATATCCCATAAGCCTGGGCATGGATTTGACCCAGCTGCTACAGCAAGATGCCAACTGCTCAAGGTGCTAAACCCTCGCTTGTACAGTATGTAGGGGGGGGGGCTGACCAAGGCAAGAAGAAGGAGGTGTCCCTCTGCCCAGACATGGATCTCCCCGATAAGAGGCAGCATTATGCAATACTGAGCACAGTGATGAGCAAGCTCCTGACCAAAGTCTTGCCAGCAAAACACAGCCCAACGCTGTCGCTCCCCGCCTGCATAAGTTTTCCCCCGGCAAAAGAACTGACAAAGTGTCCATATTTCCACAGAAATGAAGCTGGAAAGCAGGCACCCATGTCCCAAGATGCACTTTATGAAAAAACTGAGAATAGGGGAGCAGAAACAAGTGAGTGATACACAGCAGAGGCTCAGTAATGAGCGCTGCCTGTCACTGTTTGCCCAGGGCTAAATCCCTGCCAACACCAACAAGGAGCTTGCCTGAAGGTAAAATCACAGCCCTGCATTCAAGGTGTTTATTTGTAAGTGCAAAGACTACACCAGTGATCAGGACTTCCCCAGACCCAGCTCCAGGCTCACAGCCCATGCAGCCTACAGCACTTCGCTTCTCTGTGGCAAGCCAACCAGTTTCAGAAATCACTGCTCAAGTCCTCTATCGCGCTGCACACGCTACAGCAGTAAAGAAAAACAGTAATACCGTGATCAATGCTAACCCCTTGGGTTTTCAAACACAATTCACAACACTAAAACCCACCTTTATTTTAATAGGACTCTGCCAACTCCATTCTACGCTGTAAGCAGATTTATATGTTCTATATTCCGCATGAAAACTCAAGGGAACAGAATTTTTAGGAACAAAACCCAGTGATCATTAGCTTGACTTGTCACCCCTGGGCCACCAAAGGAGTTTGTTTCACCTCAGCTCACGTGTGGTCAGTTTAACTCTCTGCTTGGCAGTGCTGCAACGCTCGGGTTTCACCCACCGCAGGGCGATGGTTTACTGGACCAAAACCCGACGCTTTCCATCTGACACCTTATTGCAGGAGCGGATTCCCTCGGGGTTTCTGACAGCGAGTTTAACCGCACGCCGTGCTCCGGGCTGAACTGAAGCCGGCAGTGTTCCCCTTAAGCACTCCGAGCCTTAAAACTGCTCGGAGCTTGATCTTTCTGGCATCCATCCCTTTTCTAGGGGCTAAAGCACAGGGGCTCTCCTGTGGTGGTGTACGCACACCAGCGAGACACCGACTGAAGAGAAGCTGCTCGTTTGGGGAACCCCCGACAGTAAATAAATGCAGGAATACCGCCGCTCAGCAGCACCCCCCATCCCCAGACACCTGCCGCCCCCCGGGGCTGCACCGAGCTCCCCGGAGCGCTTTACACCGGGAATGATAAAGCAAAACGGTGTCCCCGGGGCAGCCCCGCTCCGCGCCCCGCAGCGCGCCCGCGTACTCACACGAAGGCGTGATAGAGCAGCGCCCAGCCTCGGGGCCGTTCCAGGGCGTCGTAGATCAAAGTTTGGATGCGGCGGTACTTGGCGTGGTTCCGCTTCACCGGGCGGCTCAAGGGGGTCTTCGCCAGCAGCCCCAGCCCCGGCGGGCTCCGCTTGCCGCCCTCCTCCTTCCCGCCGCCCTCCAGCAGCAGCGTCCCGTCGCGGTCCGCACCGGTGCCCAGGGCCAGCGAGCCCTGCTCGGGGTCGCCACCGCCGCCCGCCGCCGCCGCCGCCGCCCGCCGCCCCGCCGCCGCCGCCGCCCCGCCGGCAGCGCTACCGCCCGCCGCGCCGCGCCGTGCCTTCAGCCCCATGGTCACCGCCGGGCCCCGGAGGAGAGCTGCAGATCGGCGGCGCAAGCCCCGGGAGCCCCAGGGCCATGATCCGAGCTCCCCGCCCCTCCCCCCCAAAACCGATTTCTTTATGTATTTATATATATACACACACGTATGTATATATATAGAGAGAGAGGGAGGGGGCGAAAAGAAAAGGTGGGATGGGGGCTGCGATCACATCCCCGTCAGGTCATCCTCGCCGGCGGCAGCGGGGAGGCAGGAGCGCGGCGGGCACCTGGGCCGGCGCAAGGCAGGGAAATCATCGCGGAGTTTATTTACCAGCCCGATGCCCGAGCCCCTTCCTTTCCCCCCCCCCACCCCCCCCCAACCCCCCCGCCTCCTCTTCCTCCTCCTCCTCCTCCCAGCTCCTGCCTCCCCCCCCCCCGAAGCCCTCACGTTAGGGAGTGGCCCATTGTATGCAGCCAGCAAATAGCCGGGCGCCCGCCCCCCGTTCCCCCGGCCCCGGGTGTCTAGTCATCCACGGAGCGTGGAACACCGGAGACACCCCCCCCCCCTCACACCCCCCCCTTTTCCCGGTTGCCAACCCCCAGCAGCCGCCTCTGGGGCCACCAGCGCCGAGCGGGGAGATCCCGGCAGCCGGCAGAAGGGGAGACCCCGCTCGACACCCGGGGATCCCCCTTGCAGCATCACAGCCCCCCTCCCCGCTGCGGCGGGAGGGAGGGGGGGGAGGGCATCCCCGGCCCCCGGCGGGGGGCTGCTTTCACCGCCGGAGCAGGAAGGAGCGGAGGATGGGGATGAAGGATGCCGGGAGAGGCGGCGGGCAGGCGGCTGGAGGCGCTGCTGCCGGTGCGGCCGCTCTGAGCCGAGCCGAACCGAACCGAGCCGAACCGGAGCCTCCGCCCGCTGAGGAGGGGGATTCGGGTACCGGGGAAAGGACGCAACAACCCCAGCCCTGCTTGTAGCGGCGTTTGGCACAGGGCTCTTAAAGGAGATGCTGCATCTCCCCCAGACCTGGCTGTGGTTCCCCCGGTAGCAGTGCTGTCGGATCTGAAAGCTGCCCCCCCCCCCCCCCCCTCCGCTTCAGCGTGTGTACCAGCACCCCGGTGCAGGCTCGGACCCAAATCCTGAAGGGATGTGATTGACAGCCCTGTGCCCTTTCAGCTCCTTGGCTGCAAGGAGGATGGGAAGAGCCAGCTCTTGTGTGCCCTGCATCCTTGGTGCCCTGGGATTTCTGCCACAATACACTAGAAACATCCCCCCTCCTCCTAGAGCTGCTTCTGAGTAAAAACCTGCCTGCAGGCCTGAGTGTTGGCATAGCTACACCTTGGGAGGATACAAAGGGTCTGATGGAGCCATTTTTTCTTGCTAAATAATAATAAAAATTAATAATAATTAAAATAAAGACAAAGCCTTACAGACTGCTGGGTGTTTTCATGGGAGGTCCTCCTCCTCCTCCAGATGGGGGAATTTTCCTGGTATCTCCTGAAGAGATGCCAAGACACCCAAGAGCCCTTCCAGACTCATAGAGAAGCAGATTTGCCACCTACTCTAGCTGTTCTCACTCCATTCCCAGAGGGATTTATGATCTGAGCAGTCCTTCTCCTCTTTCACACACCAGGAGGGACAACAGATGGAAAGGGAGATTCTGGATGCGATTTTTGGAGCCACAACAGGGTCGCAAAGGCTGTACTGCTTCAGACCAGACTATAGGTCACTATTGGAGATGTCCCAGAAATGACACTTCTGTCACTGCATTGCTGGGTGGAAAAAGGGCTGTTTCCTCTCCAAAGTTTGACCATATGAGGTCCAAACTGAGCAGATTCTTTGCCAAGGAATTAAAACCACCTCTGCCTTCAGCTCTGCAAGCTCCAGCATTAACATGCCCCAGTCACCATCTGGTTTTGAACCTTGGCAGCCCCAAGGGATTTGATGTGAGCAGGAAGCCCAGTATCTCACCCACCCGCTATAGCATCAGCTGCCGGTGCTGGGTTTGCCGAGATCTCCATGACACTATCAGCGTTCCGCTCCCTGCTCAGCTAACATCTATCAGCATCATTTGAAAGTCATTTATAGCCGTATTCCCAAGGAGGGCTGTGGGAGGCTAGGAAGTTTTGATAACTAGGCCATTTATCTCTCTCTAGCTCCTGTTCTACCTCGTACAATAGCGATGATACTTCCCGATACCACAGGGGAGCTATAAGCATTAGCGAGGATGTATGGGGCACTGAGAATAGAGCACTTACTGCAGATAACACCCTATGCCTTAACCTTCATCCCAGCGTTACATAGGAAGAGGTGGGAGGAGGAGGCAGAAGCAAAGAAAATTTACAGCTAACCAATCCATCACAGTTTTGAACCGCAACAGTAAATGTTCAAACCACAATGGGGATGGTAAATAATTTCCAAGGGTCTGGGGGGAAAGGCTGTAAATTATTTTCACTTGCAAAGTGTTGTAGTGATGTCAAATAGAAATAGGTGATTGATAGGCATGCACACCAGCTTGTTTGGCTTTTATATGCCTTACACCAGGGACACATCGCTTTCCAATACCATTTACATGTTGGGGTTTTCAGTTGCCTCCTCCAAACTGTGGGCGTCTGGGGCATTTCCAAGCCTCAAATCACCCACCTAACAAACCACCTTTTAAGACCCAACAGGAAAGAGATTCCATCTCCTCTAAATTTAAAATCCCATTGCCCAGTGACAGGGATTCTCCTCCCTGCTCCATCTGGGATAACTATGGTGCGGATGTAGCTGTACTGGCTGTGAAGCAGTGTAACTCAATGGGAGTTAGCTAAAATCTTCTAAATCAATGCAAAGATACCCAGCAGATTCATGGGGTCTGATAACAAACCCTAATAGCGGTGTTTCAGTACCTCATTCGTAGTACTGCTGCTTGGGACCCCAGTCCTATAGCTCACCTGCTGGCAGCACTCCCACTGATGTTGAAGGGAGTTTGGCCAGATGGAGCACTCCAGGCTCTGATTTGGCTTGATGAGCAATTACACTCCATTACTATTATTTACGATGTGTTGCTGGCAGCACCCAGCCAGGTTTGATATTCACCTCCTTGGCTGACACTGGAGATCTCTGTAATCAAAAAAGCAAGTGCTTCTGCCGAGCTGGAGTTTGCAGCCAGGAGGATGTAAGAAGCTCTGATTGGAGCATGCAGAGGGACCGATGATAAGCAACTCTCCATTCACTTATGTTGGCCCTTGCCAAAGAGAAAACTGGTCAGTCAGAGAGGTTACAGTTTAAAACCAGAGGAAACCAGGAAGGTATTGTATCTGCTGGTCAAGATAGCATGGCTTTATTTTGGCTTATTCATAGATCAGCTCGATTCTAACCACAGAAGTGCTTGGTAAACCACACACAAACACACAAAGAGTGTGTTTTAGTAGAGTCACATGAACATTGAGCTAGACTATGTGGATCATGTCTACAAGAAGGAAAACTGCAAATGGAAAACCAGTTACTCTGGAAAAGACTCAGGAGCAAAATGGACAAACGGCTGCTCATGGGCTTCAGTGGCAGAGGAACTGAGATTTGTTAACTGAAAAAATGGTCAGGGTGCTCTCTAGGGATCAGGAACAGAAAGTGACCCTGTCTATAGTGTGAGTGAAACTGTCATTACAATGTCAGGTCCTACTTCAGTAGAATATGTTTTGAGAAAGGTGCTGAAGAGCAGAACCACAGATATAATTTCCTGGGATGAACGATTTGAAGCTTGAGGACCTCTTGACCTAGCAGTCTTATATATAACAAGACCCAGAGCATGGAGGGTGAAGCAACATAGCCATAGAAGTAAGCAGGGGTCTCAGTTTTAGTGTAAGCACACAAGCAGTGTTGAATTTTGTTGCCCTTTTGAATGAAACTGGCTTCTCTATCTTATCGAGCAAAATTAGTGCAGTGCTTCAAGGCTTCTTGTTTCTCATTTAGGGTGACAAGATCTAATCCCATTTTTATCCAGTCTCTAACCCTAACCTCTACTCAACCTTTGGTCACAGGTCCACCAGACATTCTCATGCTTTCTCCTCCAAATCTCTGAAGGCTTTGAGGAGGACTCCATCAGCACACAAACCTACCTCATGACCCTTTCCAATGATGTTATTACAACCCACTACTGGGATGCCCACAAACTCTACCAGTGTGCCTGCACAGAGTTTGGAAGCACCGACTGATGAATGCCCAATGAGACAGTGTAAGTTCAGAGTGCAGCACTGATATCCCAGCTAATCCAAGCAGTGAGAGCAGTCTAGCCATATAAAAGACCTGAAGCCTCATGGGGGCCTAATTTAAGGGATTGCTATCCCAGATACTGTGCTGCCACAGCTATGTTGTTCATGCACCTGACCTATCTTGTGTACCATGACCTGAGTGTTCAGCAGCACAGATATGCTCAAGCATTTCCTGTCTTTGTGCATCCATGTTTTCCTTATTCCTTATAGTTGCAAGTTAAGTTCCCTTTTTTAGGCATTCTTTCTTAGGGTTTAATACTGAGGGAATCTAAGCTGTGGCTGTTGTTTCTACCTGCTAAACTAACACAAAATGAAGCCTGACAGTCAAGCAATGGAACAGCCTAGTGAAGCATGAAATGCTCCCAGACCTGGTCTTAAGTCAGAGTTGCAGGTTCCATCTTTACTTTGAAAAGCTATGGCCTACTTTATCTTGAAGCTACGATCTGTGATGTGCAGATGGTCAAAGTGATCAAAATGCTGCCTTCTGGCTTCCAGATCTTTACATGAACTGCATGAAACCAGGCGAGGCAGAAGGGCACACAAGAGTCTTTCTGGGGAGATGAAAATCAGTGTCTGCTCCTTAAATCTGCTGATGAAAGAAGGGTGGAGATGCCCGTAAAATCTCAAAGCTGAGCAGGAAAATAAAAGATAGTTATGACAGCCAGCTCTTCCTTCCCTAGACTGCAGATGAGCCTGATGAAAAGTAGCTGCTGCCTCAAGCTGTTTTCCTTTTCTCTGCAATGACAAAGTGCAGCTGGAAACCAGAGCCTATAGTAGCTCCTCTTCGGGGAGAGTATAACTGTGGGGTTGGCGCTGCTGGTCCCAAAGTGGGTAAATTCATTATGAGTTTTTAAACCCAAGATAAAACACCAACTGTAAAATACCTTCATAGTGCTCACTTAGGGGTGTCGTGAAACCAGGACAAGGGGAAAGACTTACCAGGATGGGTCCCCTGGTCTGAGAGCTGTCAAGGTCAAACGTACCCTGGATTGCAACTGCAGCAGACAATATCACTGCTTTCCAGTGGTGGAAATGAGTCCATAGATGTCACCCATGCCAGCTCTGCTCTCCCTAAGCACCGAGTCCCCTGGCACTCCATGATCCT